AGCAGGAGACGGAAGCGCGAGAGAGAGGAATATGTACTCTAGCAGCCTTGGTGGGGCGAGCGGAGTGCGCAAATGGACGAGATGGGAGGGCACTAAGCGGAGCGGGCTCTGGCCTGCTTGCGCTTGGAACCGGGGGTCTGGAGCCGCATCGCCTTCTGGGATTTGGGAATCTGGCCCATCTCCCCTCCTAGATTAAGCCCCTGGACCCGTCCTGGGCACGTTCTGACCAGAATTCCGAGGCGAATCCAGCCGTGAAGATGAGAACGCGACAGGAGGCCCAAGCACGAGAAAGTCCAGAAAACTGTCCGAAAGCTGCCCGGAGTCCGCGGCAAGCAAATCTCCCGTCCATCGCCTGTGCGAGCCCCGGGTGAACAACACTGCGGAGAATCCGAATGATATGCCTACCGAGTTCAGCTGGAAAGGCCCCCTAGGGCGCGGCACGCTGGAACCAACGCGAGCGCATTCCCACAAGCGGACTGAGTGGCTATGACGGTTGCAGCCGCTCTGGGGCAGTTCTGCGCGTCGCCTCGGGGCGCAGTCGGCTGCGCCGCATTCAGCCGCACGCAGCTGGTTTTCCCAGCGATTCCTGAGCTCGGGGAAGCGACCACGCGGCAGGGCCGAAGCCAGCTGCGATCCCCCTCCGCGACGCCGCCCACCGAGATAACAGGGTATGTCGACCCCTGTCCCAGGTGTCGTGGGCTTTTCAGACGGACCAAAAATTTGGGGCCCCACCCTGGGATATACGCGGGGGGGGCGTCCATCCTCGATAGGGGGCGCGTCCGAATAGCCCCGTGGGGGTGTATCCCAGGGTTCCCCTCCTTGTCTTAGCCGCTCCATTTTTCGTCGAGAAGTCGAGGGCTGGGATAGAAACCTCGCCTGCGACGAGAGGCTGCAACCTTACCCAGAAGCCGAGACCACACCGAAGCACTGCCTGGCGCCAAAGCCGACGCCGATGCCGACGCCGATGCCGAGAGAGGCCGCCGAGCCCGGCCTCGCGGGCCGCGGAGGGCAGGCGAGGCGCGGCGAGGGCCGCGGCGAGGGCCGCGGCGAGGGGGGCGGGGGGAGCGACTGGGGGGGGGGGGCCGCCGTGGCGCTCGATGATCCTGTCCACCACGTAGGAGATCTTCGTGGACGGGGTGCAGTCCAGCCCTCGGCCCGCCACCGCTCCCGATCCGCTCCTCCCCGGGCGGCGCGCACCCTGGGCGGAGGGGGAAAGGCCTCCGAGAAGGAGGCCGCTTCTGTGGCGGCGCGGGCCTCACGTGTTCTTCAGACAAGGCCCACGCCTCCAGAGAGAGCACGGGTGCTTCTGGGAAGCCTTCTTCCCCCCTCCGGGCACCCCCCCATCTGCGCTGGGCCGACCTCCCCTGGCGGCCAGCACCTAGCCCAGACTAAGCGCTGGAGCTGAGCTCGGCGCACCGCTTCCCCGCCCGCCACCCCCCCGCGCAGAAGCCGCGCTCTGCCGCCACTCTCAGGGGAAACCAATTGACACCGACACCGCCTCCCTGGACCTCTCCCAATGCGCGCCTCTGACCATAATTTCGGGGCGAACCAAGCCGTTGCGACACGAGGGCTTCCACAGAGGTCTTCGAAGGCGAAAACGATGGAAGGGTAGCGGTATCGGGACCTTGTCTCCTCTAACTCTCTCCCGCGCCAATGATCTGGGCGACTTCGCAAACCCGGGACCCAAAAACGTGTTCATCTCTTGGGGGCGCATCTTTTACTTCCGCCGCCTTCCGCCGAGCGTCCACCGAGCTTCCGCCGGCGGAGGCGGCCTCGTTTCACTTCCGTCGCCCTTCCGCCGCCCGTCCGCCGCCCGTCCGCCGAGGAAGAGATTTTCCAGGCATGCGACGCCCTGATGTTTTCAGCACGGGGGGGCCTGGAAGTCACAACCCTTTCCACGTGGCCTGTTTTTCATCCTGAGTCGTTTGTGTCCCCCCCGCGCCCCTTCCTTTCGTCCACCTCCTCCTCCTCCTCCTCCTCCTCCTCCTCCTCCTCCTCATCCCGAGGCCCGGCGAGGGCCCCCCGAGGCCGAACACGACTGAAACCACGCCGTCCTGAGTTTTCGCTACGGCCCGACCCTGCCTGGGATGGCGAACGCCCTCGACCCTCGAAGGCAAGGCCTCCTTCGGAGCGCCAACGCCTGGGCAGCAGCCAGCGCAGGAGCCGCGCACGGCGGTGGCCCCCCGCCTGGCCGTCGCGCGGACGTCCATTCCCTGTGTTCTTGTTGGCTTCGCGCGTGGTATTTTCCGCCAAACGATCAGGGCTGCTCCTCGACGGCCCTCGCCGAGAGCACGCGCACACGTCCGAGCGATGCCAGGCCGCGATGGCGGCCTCGGGGCCCCGGCGGCCCGCCGCGCGAGGCGGGCGGGCGGGCGGACCCCGCCGTCGACGCCGCCCCGAGCCACGCAGGGCCTGCGGCGGCCTCTCGGCGGCCGTGGCTCCAGGGCGCCTCGCCTGTGAAGTCGGGCTGCTGAAAGGAGGGACGCTCAACAAGGAACGC